GGTGCACCTGCAAGCGAGKAGCAAGCGGTGATGAAGAAATCCCACTCTTGCTCCCAGATTTAAACGGGACATCAGGATCTATGTGAGTGGCCACAGTGCTCAGGGGGGTTTCTGGCCTCTTGTCCCTAGCGCTGCCGCGCGTGACCCGGTGCCGAATCCCGGCGCGTTCCCGGCGCAGCAGGACACGGCCGCCCCCGGCGCCCAGCCCTGCCAACCACGTGCCGGCGAATCCCACGGGGCTTCCCCATCCCCATCCACGCGCCGGCGGGATGCGGYGCCCGCCGGCCCTGCTCAGCTGCCGTGATTCCCCCCAGATCCGGGGCGGCCTCCGCGAACGCCGCCCTCTCTTCCCCTTTCTTGGCGCTTTGCTTTGCCTTTTGGTTTCTCCAAGCTGCGCAGTGCGTTTTGCAAGAGTTTCCATGTGAGTTGCAAGGGCTGGATCTTGCTGGAGCATGAACCCCTGTGGCTTCCGAGAGCTTCCAAGTGCTTCTGCGAGCTTCCAAGCGCCCGGCTTTAGCAGCTTGCCCGGACTCTGCAATTGCTGCCTTTTGCTCCTAATGCATCCCATGGACAAGGTCGGCAAGCCGGGGTGCTGGATGGATGCCGGGTGGTGGGACACGTGGGAGCTGCGACCTGCTGCCGGCGCACATCCCTGGAAGCAAACACGTATCCGCCTTGGGAAACCGGAGCTCATCCYTGCTGGGGGCTCGGGGCTGCCTTCCTGGCCTGTGGCAGGTGGGAATTGGGGTATTGGGAGCTGCTCCCTGTGGCACATGAGCCAGGGAGGGTGGAAAAGCAAAGGGGAGGCCAGGTTTCCCAGTTCAGCCCACTTGTCATCCCTGAGGGCAGAAACATGGAAGTGCAACAGGTAAGAACACCAGGCTGAGTGGGGGGCCGGAAAGGACGTTCCTTGTTGGCTAAAGCTGCCCAAAATCAGCCCAGCCCCTCCAGATCCGGGGGATGCTGCAGGCAGATTCACCTCCAGGGCTCCATTTCCCCAACTCTGCACCAGACTGGGATCTCAGACAAGACCCCTGGAGCTGGGAAGAGGGAAGGTCCATTGCAGGGCTCCCTGGGGTGATGCAGGCAGTGCCGGGCACAGGGGATGCATCCCAGGTTCCCAGGCCATGGAGTGACACAAGCAGCACCCTGTAACCACCTYATTCCCTGGATTACGATGGAAAAGCCCGGCGGCGGCAGCAGTGAGCAGTGCGACTCCTCCCTTAACCATTCCATCCAGGAGCATCCAGCCCCGACGCCGGCTCTTCCAAGTGCTGAGCGCACGGCGAGTCCCTGGCCCGCCAGGCGGGGGGATCAGGGAAGCCCCGGCATTCCCGGCAGAAATCCCCCGCAGCCCGGCTGACTTTCCCTGGCCACAGGGAAAAGGAGCCTGACGCAAGCCTAAAGTCTGGACTTTCTCCTGTTTCACCTCAGCCGGCCCCAGGGTCACTGCCTGTCTGCTCCCTGCAGGATACAGGAGCCCTGCAGGATGCGGGAACCCTGCTCCGTACCCCTCATCCTGGCTTAAAATGCACCAGTGGGAAGCGTTTCCTATGGACCATCTTCCAAATGACCTCCGGGTTGCGGGCTGGTGCCAGCTGGTCCCTGGCCAGCGGGATGCAGGGATTGCAGCCCCGGGTGCCCTTTGCCTCCCGGGCAGGGATACGTGCCCAGGCGGATAGGAGCAGGAGGCGGCTCCGCAAACAAACCCGCCAGCGGGCAAGAGCCGACCTGCCCACGCCGGGCATTCCAGCGCGGCACCGCGCTGCTGCAAAGCCATCATTTTTTGGGTGCAAAACATCATTGCTTTGGGTGCAAAATGTGCTTTTTGGGTGCAAAATATTGCTATTTGGGGGGCAGAATGTTGTCACTCAGTGCAAGAGCCTCTCGGCTGAGCACGTAGCTGGGACACGGGTGCATCGTTCTTGGTTGTTTTGCAGCTGCAGCCTAGCTGACAACCTAGCAGAGGCACCTGCATCACYCAGGACACAAGTTTGCAGAGTCTCTGCTGAGCTGGGGGTGCGTAGGACTGGGGATACACGGCTTCTCTTGGTGCAACACATCCGATTGCGCGTGCTGCYGGCACCTTGGGATCCTTGGGGAAAAGTCCCCATCCCGCTGCTCCGCATCCCCCTCGCATCCCACCTCCGTTTTTGGACTTTCCTGCTCCACACCATCCTCAGCTGATCTTTGTCCGGCGTTTTCACAAAACCCCCTGGAAGGGAAAATCCAGAGGCGCTGGAGACTGGCCTGTTCCAGCACCTCCATCCTTAGAGCTGGGCTGGCCTCGGTTTTCCCCGGCTGCCCAACCTGAATGTCCCCGGCTGTAAAAGCAGCCGATATCTCCACCCTGCTCAGCCCACCTAACAGCACCTCTCTGCAACAACTCCTTTTTAACACCAAAATTGTGCTACCAGGTCTCTTCTTCTTGGGTTGGGTACCACGTCCCCATGCACCATSTCCCTGTGCACCCTTTCTCAGCCCAGTTTCTTCTGTGCAGAAGAAATTGGCCCTTCACTAAGAGACTAAGACCCTTTCGAGGTCCTTTTCTCCCAAAGYGGACCCAGTTCTTTATTTGCTTCATTTCCTACCCATATCTGTGTCTAAGGACAGAGGCCTTTGCCAGCTCTGCAGCTGGAACATTCAAGTCTGACATGCAAACTTCGCCTTTTACTATAAATACCTTGCTTGGCTTCTCCAAAATCTGTTCTGTAACGTCTTCTGAGAAAAAAAAAAGGTTCTTTAAAGTACTTCTAGGAACTCTCCTAATTAAATTTTCTGGATACTGGAGTCTCTGAATGCGACAATGCCATAAATGACCCAAGAAGCCTGCACTAAATGCGGAGATTGATTAAAAGCGAGAGAATTGCTGGTTTTGATTTGCTGCATTCCACTTGGGAGCGCAAGGACAGACGGACATGCCTGTTCTGCTCCTGGGCCCTGTTTTCCATTTTGGTGAGAACTACCAGGAAAATTAAGCCCTGACAAAAAAAGAATAATAATAATAATAATAATAATAATAATAATAATAATAATAATAATAATAATAATAATAATAATAATAATAAAATCCTGATTTAAAGACTGCCATGTCAGAGAGGATTTGGGGAGAACTACAGTGGGGCCTTTTTGCTGTCTCCTCCAATAGGGCAAATCTACAAGGGGGCTGGAAATGCAGCTGCAGTTTGGACTGGCAACACCCAGGGCACAAGAAGGGACTCGGAGCAGTTAATGCCATAAAGTGCCATAAACACCATCGGTCTGATGGATGGCAGGGAAGCTGGGCCAGCCCTCTAGCTATTGTACTTATTGCGCCCCTTATCATTTTAGGAAGCAGAAAAATGGAACTTGTGCGCAGGAAAAAGAGAAGAAAGTTGGTTTCTGGTATTAATAGGAAGTCATYGGAGATATGTGATAAGCAGAGATTCAGTTTGCAGTAGGTGCGATAACCTCCCCCAGGCAGGCCCGGTGCAAAGGGCAGCTGCTCCGTTGTGTCCGTCTGTCCATCCTGCGCCCGCTTGTCTTTCCTGGGAGCCTCCATGCTTCCCAGGATCTACTGCAGCCCGGAAGAAGCCGCTTGGACTTGCAGGAATCCCAAGGGATTCCCATTTGCCCTGGGATGGGCGGCTGCTCCGGTGGCTTCCTCTTCATGGGCAAATTGGCGCTGAAGCAGTTAAAACTGCAGTGGGTTCCACTTCTTCTCGCTCCCATGCTGCTCGGAGCTCTCCGCATTCCCTCTCAGCTGCCCTGCGAGCCTGGCACGTGGGAATTGCTCCAGTTAAGCACACACGAGCTTACCAGGATGTTCTTCTCACAGGGGGAAGTAGTTTGAAAGAAATTCTTGGCTGCACTGCGTGCCCATCCCAGCGCTTCGCCTTGCCAGCGGCTGTCGGGAATCCSGTGGTCGTTCTGGGATGTCCCCCACCCCTTCCAGGACCATTTCCCCCCCGGCAGGAGCGGGACCGGTGTTCCTCCATGGGCACAGATGGCACAAGCACCTGAAAAAGCCGTAGCCAGGTTTCAGGGGAGCCAATTCGTGCATTTCCCTGCACTTCCTTGCAACTGCTTCCAGGCTGTCTCCAAAGTCACACAACCAAACGGCAGCCGGTGACGGGGGGCTGCGGAATTGCATCCAATCCTGCTTCCCTATTTCCCTCGCCTCGGCTCTGGGGGGGACCAAGGGATCCACGAGCTTCATTATAGGCTGCCCCATTAAAACACCCCAAGGGTGTCACCCCTTTTATCTCTGCTTTTTGATGCCAGCCAGAGCGGGGACCGGCTGCTGCTGCTGCCCCGGGTGCCAGTTGGGCTCCGGGTGGGTCCTGCTGGGGAAGGGCTTCCCACCCCCCCAACTTGATGTCCAGCAAAGGCARAAATAACCCTCCAAGCCGCGGCTGATGCAGTGGAGGCTTCTGAGCCTCCCAAGAGYTACCTGATTCGGACCAGGTGGCCACTGAACAGCCGGGCTAGTGCAGCAGCTTTAGCTTATAAATTACAGCAAGGGTTGTGCGCGCGTTGGATAATCGCTGCCTTTACAGCCACCGCACCGCTTTATACCCTCCCCATTTCCCCGCAGCACCCGCCAGGGGAGCAGCCAGGCTCTCCTTCCAAGAAACACGCCGCGTGATTTGACAACCCCCGAATAAAAATCATAATAAATAAATAACAAGGGGCGCCCAGCTTTCCAAACCCTCGGGATCGGCGGGGGGGGCCGAGGCCGCGAAGGGCGGCGGGGCCGGAGCCCGGGGGCGCCGTCGGGGCCGCCCCCGCGGGCTGATTTCTCGGAAAGGCGCGCGCTGCGGAGAAGGCGCCGCGCGCCGCGCGCTCCCCATTGGCCCRGCGCCGCGCAGGGCGGCTCGCCATTGGCTCGGCGAAGTGAGGGGGCGGGGCGTGCTGCGTCCCGCCCCCCGCGCCCCTGTTAATGGGGCGGCGGGAGCGGCGGCCGCGGTCCCGGCTGGAGCGGAGCGGAACGGGACGGGACGGGACGGAACGGAACGGAACGGAACGGAACGGAACGGGGCTGCAGGTAGCGCCGGGCTTCGCTCTTCCCTACGGGATGGGACCCCTTGGTGGCCCCTGGCTGCCCGGGGGGGTCCCACGGGGGTGCGGGGAGGACGCGGAGCGCGGCGTCGTGGGGTGCAAGGGGATGGGGACCCGCGGGGACGTGCGGAGTTGGGGTGGCTGCGCGGAATGGGGTGGTGGCACGTGTGGGGTGCACGGGGGGGTTGCTTATTTGGSGTGTGGGGGTGCAGAAATGGGGTTGGGAGTGTTAGGGGTGCAACCGGGGGGTGCAAAATCGGGATGTGGGGCACGGCGCGGGATATTWGGGGGGTGCAAAACTTGGATGCAGCGCCCTGGGGTGCGTGGAGGGCAGCCTGGTGCTGAGTGGGGCTGTGCCCTGTGCTGGGGAGGGGGCTGCACAGTGGGGGTCTCCGGGCGGCGGGGATGGGGGCAAAGTGCCGCTCTGCTCTGGCTGCACATTGCAYGGAATGGGGTGATACGGGGTGGCCAAGGCGTCTTTGTCCCTTCCCTGTCCYTCCAGCGGGGTCAGGCAATGATGCTGGGATGCACCTTGGCTTGGGGACAAGGATCAGGGATGCTCCTTTAAGCAGGAGTCCTGGGATTCAGCCCTTTTTCTAGAAGGTGTAACTGGGTCTGAGCTTTTTGGTGCAAATCACAGAGCTCTGGGAAGCAGCTTTGGGAATCTTGAATGTCGTTCCGTGCCAGTCCCCAAGAGCAGGGGCYGACCCTATGAGCAGCACTGCGGACCTGAAGCTGCCAGGGCCAAGAATATCCTGGGAAAGTTCTGATCCACAGTCCAGTTCCTTAAAAAGAAAAAAAGTAGGGAAAGGAGGTCAAAGCCCCAATGCTCAATTCCCAATTACTGTAGATGTGTGGAGCCAGGAGCGCTGGGAATTGCCGAGTGCTTTGCAGCCAGTTTGCACTTTACTGGATCAGGGCAGATTATAAGTATTTTTATTCCTTTCCATCCCGACCCACGTGTTGGCTCCCGGTGTCCCGACCCRGCGGGTCCCCGAAGCCGGTGACACCAGGCTGGGGACAGGGGCCACGTGCGGGGCCCCCAGCCCTGCGAGCGGGACGGGAGGAAACGCGGCCGCTAAGTTTAGCACCGAGCTGCTTTGGGGCTGTGGCTTCATCCCGCCTTTTATTTATTTATTTCTTCTTCCCCTCTGCCAAAGCGGAGGGGGTTGCGCGGGGAGATCTGGTGCAGAAATCCTGCTCTTTGGGCCGTAGAGGGAGATGCTAAAGGGCGTTTCTGTCCCCCGGGGACATAAATGAACCCCTCTCCACCTTGGCTGGTCTGCGTGGTGTCACTCTGTTCGGTGACAAAAAAACCTGGCCCTTTAATCCCTGGCTCCCTAGCTCATGTACAACATGTCACGCAGCCAAAAAAATGAGTAAACGGAGCTCTAAGTCTTTTTTTTTTTTTTTTTTTTTTCCTTTTTTTTTCCTGTGACCGAGGCACATGGGCTTTGATCAAAGTTGCTGGGAGAGGAATTTAAAGTAATTCAGAGGAGGAAAAAAAATCCTCCAAAATACRTGTTCTTGTTGCTGTCTCAAAAGTGCTTTTAGGAGCACTTCTGCAGGGTCCAAATGGGCTCATCAGGGCTCTCCTTGTCCCCCTTATTTCACTCTCTTGGAGCGGGGTTGTTCCCACTGGGATGCTATCCGGAAAGGTTGGCGTGCTGCCTGTGTGGGGAATTCCAGCATGTCCGAATCCAGGGAAATGGATACCGGCAAATGCAGCTATCCCAGCCATGCCCTCCTATATCAAGCTGCTTTCCAGGAGGAAGCTGCTGTGAGGGGCAATCAGCCACTTGCAGATATGCTTCTTTTTCTTGGTTTTCCTTTAAAAAGGAGAAAACTTGCAGCGTGCAGACCCGCTCGTGCTGCAGACATTGCTATTTCCAGGTGCGAGCGTGACCAGCTAAAGCCGAGTGTGGTCACTTGTACCGAACCGCTTTGCTTTGGTCTCTATTATTATCATTTTTTCCTGGAAATCTCACTGCAGGCCCCAGTTCCGGCTGCAGGGACTGCTTATAGTCAGCTAAAAATATATATAAAGGTAGCAAGGCACACTTGAGTGTCTCCATACCCTCCTTTTTAGCAGCCTGGCACGGAAATGTAGTAGCTCCTTTATTTTTTTTTTCCTGGTGCTAATGGACAAGCCGCCCACCTCCCTGTTTCTTTTCCATGTGTTGGGATATCGGGATCGCTTCACRGATGCCGGTGCTGTCTTTTCCGTAGGATGTGTGACCGGAACGGCGGGAGACGGCTCCGGCAGTGGCTGATCGAGCAGATCGACAGCGAGCTCTACCCTGGCCTCATCTGGGAGAATGAGGAGAAAACCATGTTCCGCATTCCCTGGAAGCACGCTGGGAAGCAGGACTACAACCAGGAGGTGGATGCCTCCATCTTCAAGGTAGGGCGAGCTTGGTGTCTCCTGGGTGCTGCTGGCAGATGGATTTCCTTGGTGGGTGAGAAGCACCCTTGGGGTCYGCAGATTTTCCAAGGAAAGCCTCTTTGCCCCCTCTCCTGTGGGAATGCATCTCCGGAGCCTCCGGTGTTTGTGTCTTTTCTGGTCGCTGCCTGGCTCGGATTCCTTTTCAGTGTGTTGTAATTCTGGCCTGATGAGAGCAGGAGCTGAATAGGCTCTTTTTTTTACCCACTCTAACCTTCCCATGAGACTGTTTCTGCTGAAAGACGGGATTTACAAAAAACTGAAGCTTTAGGGGAAGGAAGTGTCAGCTTTCCCTGGAGGGGGGGGAACTTCACACTGGGGGTGGAGGTGCCAGACTGGAAAGCCCTTTCTTGAACCAGAAAGGTCAGATTCTTCCTCAGGAATTCCCTCTCCTCCCACTCATCCCACTCCCATGCTCCCAAACATCAACCCCGGAGGATGGAGACGGCCTTTGGGGCATGGGCTAATTAGGTTGCCTTCGGGTGGTGTAATTAGCAGCAATTTAGGGTGGGTGACTTGTTATTTAAGCTTTGCAGGGCTTTTAATTGGGGTGTAGGAGCGCGGAGGGCTGTGCGATCCGTGGATCGGCTGCAGCCCGGGCTCTGCTCCCGTCTCCCAGGCTTGGGCCGTCTTCAAGGGCAAGTTCAAGGAGGGCGACAAGGCGGAACCGGCCACGTGGAAGACGCGGCTCCGCTGCGCCCTCAACAAGAGCCCCGACTTCGAGGAGGTCACGGACCGCTCCCAGCTGGACATCTCCGAGCCCTACAAGGTCTACCGCATCGTCCCCGAGGAGGAGCAGAAGTGTAAGCGGGTGGATTCCCCCAAGGGGCTCCTGTGCTGCAGGCTCCTTCCTGCCAAATGGTGGGGAAAAGTGGGAATGTCACCCGCGAGATGTGGAATTGGGAGTGGRCAAAGGCCCCTAGGGGCCATTCCCTTGGTGGCATTGCTGTGTCCTTCCTCCAGTAAGGCTTTTTTGGAGGGTGCAAGGAGGGAATGGAGCCTGAAATGGTCCTTTCTCCTCGGAAGGTTGCAATCAATGCACTGAAATAAATGCATTAAATCCCTTCCCTTTGCACAGCGGGCATGGCAGTGATTAGAGTCGCAGCAGCTGAGCAGGGAGCAGTTGCTGCTGCGATGTCCGGTGCGGTGCAGGCTGCGCTGGGTGTATTTTTATTTGTGGTTAGGTGTGTGTGCGCATGCTTCTTTTTTTCCTCTTTTAAAGTTAAAAAAAACTGCAAAAAGATCTTGCTGCCAGGAAATCTCCCTTTAGTGTCTTGGCCGTGTTCACACGAAGGGCTCGGCACTGACAGCCCAGCAGCGTCCTGAGGACGTGCAGGAAAAGATGACTCAGGGGTGTGCCGAAAAGCTGGGTGCTCYGCTCAACTCGCTGCATCTTTCTGCTCGCCATGGGGAGACCTGGTTGGGGCCTGGGTGGTGCTTGTTGGTTCCATAGCTTTCCTGGGATGGGGGGACTCTCTCTAACCCAGCGGTGATGGATCACGAATGAATCCCTGTGTGTTCCCAGGCAAGATCGGCATCGCCAGCGGGAGCGGCTTGGCCGAGGTGACGGACATGGACTGCAGCCCCTCTGCCATCGATGACCTGATCAAAGAGGTAAATCGGTCACTGCGAGCACATGAAGCCTTTCCCACCGGGAGAGGACRAGCAGCCAAGATTCTTGGCTGAAATGCAGTAAAATCTGCAGGGATTTGAGGTCGGAGCAGCCCCAAAGGCCGAGTTTTCCCACTACAATGGCCCTATTGATTCGGTAGCTGGCTGGGACAGTTATCCGTGAATGGGCTGTGCTTTTGGTTTGTATTCGGCTCTGCAAGGCACGCACTGGGACACAGAGGCTGCCTTCATGGGCCTGCTCCTTCCCTGCAGCAGTCCTGCTCCCAGGTGTTATCCAGGGACACGGCCTAGGGATTCCCAAGCTCCCTTTCTAGGCAAAAACAGTCATCTGTGTCTTAAACTCACTAGCCTCCTCACCTGGTGGGTTGGACCCCTTTTTGGGGAGTGCTGGTTATCATGGGTGTCACTTGCCTTGACTTGGTCTCCGGCTGATCTGATGGGCTCTTGCTCCCCGTTCCAGCCCCCCTGCGTAGACGAGTACCTGGGTATCATCAAGAGAAGCCCCTCGCCGCCGCAGGAGACCTGCAGAAACCCCCCGATTCCGGACTGGTGGGTGCAGCAGCCCAGCCCTGGTGAGTGCCCAAGGGCCTGGGGGTGTTTAGGGGGACCGAGCTCCCTGTCCCCCTTGCAGACAGCAGATGTTTCGTCTTCCTTTCAATCTTTCAGTTTATTAAGAGTCCTTAACGTGCCAGCTGCGGGTGCTGCAGTCTGTACAAGAGACCTGGCAGTGCAATGCTCATTGCACAAGGTTAAATCCTAGTGTATTTGCTGGCATTTTCCATGCAGGAACGGGGAGTCCTGGTGGGGCACGAAGTGTGTGGGGCTGGTGGTGCTGAGCAGGACTTGGTGCTCAGGCTCTGTGGAGTCACAGAGCTGGGCGCTAAGACAGGTCTGTTTTTATTTTGCCTGCAGCTTTGCCCCTGATGAACGGGTACCCCAGCTATGAGCAGCATCATTCGGGTAAGGCAGCTCCCCTTGCCCTGCTTGGCTGCACTCTGTGACCATCAGATGCCTTTGGGGAGGTTGGTTCCCCTTGTGCACACAGCTGGGGTGGCAGGAGGTGGCTCTGCTCCCTGCCTGGCATTGGAGGCTGTGCTGGCTTTGGGGATGCTTGAGTATCCACAGGGTCTGCAGGGCAAACAGGGACATGTGGCAGCGCTGTGGGGGTGTCCTGCAGGAGGACATCTGTGCGTGGGGTGGCTCTGGGATGCTGGGGTCACCTGTGCTTCTGGCTTTGGGCCATTTACCCACTGCAGGGAGGTGTGAGTGAAAGCAGCAGGAGAGGAGCACTTTGAGTACCACCTGCACAGGGGATTGCTCTAATCCTCTTACACCTGCACCATCTTTCCTGCGGTTCAGACCAGTGATGTTCATAAGGCCAATGACTTTGTGCATAAAACAGCTCAGACTGCAGCTGCTTATCCAAGCTGTACATTAACATGATAGATCAGAAGAGAGGCAAAACCTGAGGCCAGTGTGGAACCATGTCAAAAACCAACATGAGCCAGGGCAATTGAAGCTTGGGGAGGGTTTGGCTGCCCTTCCTCATGAGCTGTGTGTGTGCATCTCCCTGCAGGCTACTCCCAGATGGTGATCACCTTCTATTACGGAGGGAGGCTGGCTGGCCACATCACCACCTCCTACCCTGAGGGCTGCCGGATCTCGCTCGGCCAACCCTCTGGCCACGGCGAGAAGCTCTATGTGCCCGACACCCTGGAGCACGTGAGGTTCCCCTCAGCTGACATGATCCAGAATGACCGCCAGAAGCAGATCACCAAGAAGCTCTTTGGGCACCTGGAACGGGGGGTCCTGCTGCACAGCAACAAGCAGGGCATCTTCATCAAGAGGCTGTGCCAAGGCAGGGTCTTCTGGAGCGGGAACACCATGGTGTACAAGGACAGGCCCAACAAGCTGGACCGGGATGAAGTGGTGAAGATATTTGACACCAACCTGTTCTTCCGAGGTTTGTAGCAGCGTTTTCCCTCCTGGTTCCCTTCAGCTTTTGGTTCCTGCCCTGCTGATCCTGCAGGGTTTGGCAGGGAGGCAGAGCTCAGCTGGGCTGGTGCTGTGGGTGGCTCTCCCAGGGGCTGAGTGACAACCCCGGTGGCTCTGACCACTGTGCTGGACTTCCAGTGAAGTCCATGAGTGTGCAGGTCCGGGTGTGCAGGTCCAAAGCAAGTGGTCCAAAGCATCCAATGTTCAGTCTTAAAAATGGCTAAACACCGTTAATCCTTTGGTAGAGCCCTTGGAGCACTATGAAGCTGTTGGCGCCTGTCAGTGCTGAGTTACCCAGGGCCTCCGGTATTCTGGAGTAGCTGATCCCTCCTGAGGAGGGATAATCTGGTGTGTGAAGTGTCGTTTAGCACATTCTTCATGCTTGGAAGCCGCACAAAAGCCACCCGATTCCTCTTGAGCAAGCCGACAGGTTCCTTCTGCAGCAGGATGCCTTGGTCCCTAAGGGGTGGGAGGGCTGTGTGGCAGATGTTTGCAGCTGTGCCAGCTGTCTCCCAGCTGCGCTCCTGTCCCCGCAGAGCTGCAGCAGTGCTACAACCAAGGCCGCTTCCCGGACAGCAGGGTGACGCTGTGCTTCGGCGAGGAGTTCCCGGACACGGTGCCGCTGCGCTGCAAGCTCATCCTTGTCCAGGTGCCGCCTCGCGTGGGAGCCTTTCCCAGCCTCTGGCTCTGCTTCTCCCTCTTTTCTGGGCTGCATCACTCTCTCTGGGCATGGAGCTTCAGCCCCTGGGGCTGTGGGCCATTTGGGTGCAACGGTTGGTGGGACGCGGGGTGAATCTTGGCTTCTCAAAGCCTCTGGAGGTGCCCGGGCAGCTCCTCCTTGGAGACCCCATGCACCATCTGTTACTAGCAAACAAAGCCCCCAAACACCTTGCAATTTAAAAAAGCTGTTCTAAACTGCTAGGAAGCCTGTTCCTCCCCCTCTCCCCTGCCCAACTCCCCCATTCTCCTCCCTTTTCACCCCGTTCCACCCGTTGCATCTCCCCCACCTYGTGCTCTGCGCCCGGCTCGGTGGAGCGTGGCCGGAGGCGATGCCTCAAGGTGCTGCTCGCTCAGTGTGTCCCTGGTCCCGGGATGCAGGTGGAGCAGCTCTGCGTGAGGCAGGTGGTGGAGGAGGCCGGCAAGACGTGTGGCAGCAGCCCCATGCTGCCGCTCGCCGACGAGGCGCAGCCCGACCAGGCCTACAGGATCTTCCAGGACATCTGCGGGACGCATCCGCGGCCGCTCTTCCGAGAGAACCAGCAGATCGCCGTCTGAGCTGCTGCCCGCTCGGCACAGAGCGGCTCTGCGGGTGGGTCTAGGTCCAGTTTGGTTCCATTAGTGCCTAAATGCTCCTTTGGGAAAACGTCCTCTGGTTCTTGTTCTTTGTTTCTGGTCTAGAGTCTGTATAAACATGGCAAAAAAAATGCTGTTTGGGAGTAAGTTGCATCCSCCCATGACACATCTGGAGATATTTTTACTGATAAAATACTGAGCTGGTCCTTGCATTTACTGCCCCAGATAATGRCAGGAAAGGAGAGCATTGGGTTGGGGAGCAGGGATGCTCTGTGCGAGCAGCACTTTGTGCTGCCCCTGTTAGATACAAACCAGGTAGAGCTGCAGATCAGCAGCTGCAAAGACCTGCCCTCATCTGCAACTTGGATGTGGCTGAAAATATCAATTTGTAAGCAGGCAGCTCCTGGAAACGCTTTAAAATGATCAGATGTAGTAAATTTATCCCAGAAATCTTTTTTCCCAAAGAGATAGTAGTACTGCTGATAGAAACTAAGGTATGCCTTCCAAGGAAAACTTCCTCAAAGAAATTCCTATCTTTATTTTTGCTATGAGATTTATATTTTTATCTGTGACATGGAATTACTTTGAAATTTGGAAGCCAGTGCAGAGATTATATATGTAAATGTTGGATATGGGAACCTAGAAGTTTTAATTCCTCTAACCAGAGACAGTTTATATAAATATTATATATAAAAAGATTTGTTTTATGTGAAAGGTGTCTTGGTGTAGTGTGAATAGGCTGGCTTCCCCAACGCGCACATGTTGCTCTCCCAGGCATGACCAGCAGTGTGTCCATGTGGAAATCCTCACTAACTTGCTTCCTGTGCGTGTGACTAGGACGTGGGCCTCGGGGCTTGCAGCTGGTGACAACCCAGCACCGTGCATGTGTTGCTAAAGCTGCCTATTTATTGTACGCCTGAGGTTGTTTTGTTCTTAAAAAATGTAATTTTTTTATCTTTCTGCAATTAAAGTGCTATATTTTGTATCACTCTTGCAATGGTCCTTTCTTTTTGCATTGCAGCGAGCAGAGTGTCAAATCTCTGGAGAGGGCAGCTGGCACCTCTGCCTTGTTCCTGCCTCAGTTTCCCCTGTGCTGAGCATCYGTCTCCCTCCTGCTCCAAGTTGAAACCAAGTGTTTATGGAGCAGGAGGAGCGATGGAGCTCAAGGGAGGAAGGAGGATGTTGCATCTGTAGGAGTGTGAAGTTGGGTCCATGTCCATCTCCCATGGTGCTGACCCAGATGTCCTCTGCTCCTGGCCATGATGGTCCATGTTCCATGTCACTTGCGGTCCTKTGGGAAGGCAGATGGTCATCATTGCCCTTGGGTTGCCCATTGGAGCTGTAACCCCCTGTCCTCACTACCTGCCTTTGTCAGGGGCTGCAAGTGCCAAGTTTTGGGGTAACTGAGGAGGGCTAATTTGTGTGGAACCAGGAGTTAACGGCCCCAAAAAAAGGTGTTTTCAGCCTTGGCCAGGCAGCGAGCTCTGGGCTGTGCAGGAGAAGCTGAGCAGCTGCCCATGGGCTGGCTTCCTTTCAAACCTCATGCTGCAGATGCCCTGGGAGCCAGGTCAGCCCCTGCCACGTGTGTCCCCTGTCCCTGCGAAGGACAGACACCAGTATCAGCCTGCTGCAAACTGGTGTGGGTGCCTGCTGGGTGCTCTGCCCCTGCTCAGGGTGCATCCTGACACCCAAGGGACCACACGGAGCAGTGCCTGCAGTCTCCAATATCCAGGCTCAATCTCCTTGGGAATTGCTGCAGGGAAGGATGCCCAGCTGTGTGTGTGTCTCCTTGCCTGCCCTTGACTTTTTTTTTTTTCCCCCCTAATTATTTTTAATTGATGAGAAGGGCTTTTCCCCAAGTGAAAAGGTGCTGTCAYGACCCAACTGAGCTGGCAGGACTCAAGTGCTTTGCAGTTCACGCTATTCCAGCAGATTGCCCTGGCTCCTGGGTTTTTCCATCCCTTTGGGGATGAGCATCTCTCACCCTTCCCGGGGAGATAGCTCTGAAATAGGGAAGCGCTCGGCTCCCGTGGGACTCGAGGCCGCGCAGGGCGCTGCGTCACAAGGGGCCTGGATTTGCATTTGCGTTAAGGCTGCCCAGCTTGAACTAACGCAGGGGCCAAAAGCGATGAGAAGACCCGACTGGCCTTTCCCAGCCCTGTTTTCTCCCCAGCAGGAGGAGAAGCACCGGGGCCACCTGCTCTGCACTTGGGGCTCTTTCCATTTCCACCCCAAGACTGYGGGAAGGGAGCAGGGGCACGGACTGCTGCAATGGGATGTGCTCCTTGTTTTCAGTGTTCCTGTGGTCCTCCTGGGTCCATCTGGGGCTTCCACAGAGCCAGGATGGTGCCCGTCCCAACCGTTGGTGAGGCCAGGTCTAAGAGGAGATGGTTGGTGGCCCTAGGGTGACCGGGAAGGGGACTGCGGGATAGGATTAGTCATCCCGATGGATGGCGGCTCAACGCAGGGAGCCAGGCTGGTTTTTCTCTCCCCACTTGTGAGACTGAGGAGGGTTTTCGGGCTGCAAGGTGGTTTCTGTGACTGCAGGCGCGTTCCTGTTTTGCAGGAGGCTCAGGTGGGACACGTGAAGTTCAGGGCTAAGGTCTGGCCGAGCTGGGCTTCCTGGCTCCGCTCCCAACCCCGCTGTGGGAAGCGCGGCCAAGGCAGAGGACCTGCAGCTCCGGAGCGGGATCAGGCACTGCACCAAGCCACGCTCCGCCCCATGCATCCCATGGGAAGAGACCATCTCTTCCAGCGCTCCACCCGGAGCTCCCCCAACCAGCCTCATTTAACCCCCACGGGCTCCCTTTGCTGCCACCCATCCCSGAGCTCCTTGGGCACRAGCAGGTCCCCAGGAGGTGGGGACRGGTCCRCGGGCCGCTCGGCGCTCGCCGCGGGCGCAGGTGGCCGCGGGCGCGCGGAGCTCGTGGCCGCACTCGCAGCTGCGCTCAGCCCGCCGCCTTGGGGCCACGGAGGCTTCGGATACTGTCGGTGGTTTCTGTTCGCTCCGCTTCTTCTCCACGGCCGCAGTGAAGTGAAACCCCAACGTCTCCCCGCTGCTCTTCCCCCTCCTCGCCTCGCTATCGGCACCTACGGGCGTCTTTCCAGCTAGGATCCCTTGCCCAGGTYGCGGGGATGTCGATCCCGCTTGGGATGGCAGCTCCTTCCTTCCCAATGAGACAAGATTTGAGCAGAGATTGGGTAAGATGACCTCCAAGGTCCCTGCCAACCCCAATTCTGGGGTGATTAAGGTGTCAGTGAGGATCTGGGAAGCCTGGATGCCAGCAGCTTGGAATATTGCTTGGAATATCAATTTGTGGGGAACATATATTGCTATACAATATACATCAATTRTTGTGTGGGTATACAATACTGTTCCCTCACTTTCTACTGTTTCAAGCATGGTTTGCAAGCCTCCTGAGCAGAGGTTTGGGCTGGAGCAGTCACGTGGTTAAACTCCCTCCCGAAGTGGAAATATTTCCTCAATTCCCAGGAAGGCCCACAAGGTTCCTACCGCTGTTCTGGAGACTGCTGCCGCCCCTGAGGACAAGTGCTGACTCCTTCTGGGAATTTTCCATGCTAAACTCCTGYGTTTTGGAGTGAAAAGGCAGAGAAAACGAACCACATATATAGAAAAAAGGAACTTGGTTTCTGTGGAGGAAGGCTTGACCTTTTCCTTGCAGAAGATATAGCTGGTTCTCCTCATAGGAAGGACAAGAGTGCCTAACAAGTCCCCATATTGGCSAGTGGAGAAGAGTGGGCTGGCGTAAGGAATATGGGAGAATTATCTGTTGTCCCTTTCTTTAAGGTCTTGTAACATAGAGAGGTCAGTTCTGAGGGGTTTGGTCAGAGACTTTGATTTCTGGGCGCTGGAAGGGACTTGTTCTCATTGGCTTGGGACCTTATTTGGGCTCAAAGCCAACCTCGCTCTAGAGGAATGTCATGATGGAAGGCTGTTGTATCCCATGGAAGTACTTCCTTGGGGAGAAAAAGCCTGGATAAACAYGCTGGGGTTATCAGTCTTGTCCCTTAATGTTTTACTTGGTGTTTCAGTAGTTTCCTATGATCTGTCCTTCAACAAAGATGAAAAATAGACCATTGCATGTAGCTTTAGGAGCAGAATTCAGTGTCTTCAATGACAATCAGTTTCTACCCATCCCTACYACACATTTAAATGGTTATATGGTTACATAGAAGTTATAAGGTGGCAGAGCTCTGAGTAGGCTCACTGGGCTGAGGAGGAAGAAGCAGAGGTTTGGATATGGAGCTCCAGCCCAGCCAAAGCTCCGGAGATTTTGTCCACCCAGTCCTGGAGAAATGGGAGAAGCTCCATCGCCTTCTCCTTGCCGCTCTGGAGGCAAAGAGCTCTGTGCAGAAATGACCCCAATTCAATCGCAGATCCAACCTCATAGTTGAGCTGCTCAGGAGTATGAAACAAAGCCACTCCAGCTGCTTCCTCCACCCTCCCGCGGCCTGGTTTGGGCCCCCACCGGCTCCTACAGGCGTTAGAAAACAAACAGTCACTTTTTATTTCTAGACACCAGGGTTTCCAACTGGTTTGATTGCTCAATGCACCATTTCGGCACAGCAGCCCTGTCCACGGAGAGCATCTCGGGGCTCTTCCTGTGAGAGCTGTGTTGTAATATGGGAAGCAGCCTCCTCGGCACGGCCAGCGGCGGCGGGACATCTCCTCCCTCCTGCTGAAGGGCCAGGGTCTCCACTTGCTCCTCAGGGTTGCATCCTGCTGGCACGAGGCAGGTGATGGTTGAGGCTCTGTGGTCCTCTCCCTCTTGGTGTCGGTGCTGTTCATTGCTCCTCTGCCTTCTGGGGTGTGTTCTGCACCAGAAAAAGCTGAGCTGTCCCCGGCCACCACCGAAACAGTCTCTTTCCTCCAGCAAGACTTGCCCATGAGAGCTACGTCTCACCTGGAGGGACAAGAACCAAAACTCCAGTGAGACGAAAGCCCCTTATTTTACTCAACCCATTCTTCATCATTAAACTCATCCTCCTGCAACTCTTTGCTAGATTCAAGATCATAAAAACAGGCTCCACCCAAGCTGCAGCTACAAAAATACGCAGGGACGGGGAGAAATGCAGTGATACTTGTTTTGTTTTATCAGACCTTTGGGTTTATTATGAGACCTAGCCTGTGAAACCAAGGTCCAGGCTGAAATCCCCTCCTTCCCCCAAGTTTGCATGCGCCTAGGTGTTGTGTCCTGCTTTGGGTCTATTTTGGGTGCGTGAGATTTGCTTGCAGCAATGCAAACACCCTGGTGCACTAAAGGGGCCGGAAGAATAAAATATAGTCGGGCAACTTTCCATGTCAGTCACAAAACAACCCGCTCGGATTCGAGGTATTCTGCACCTCTGTTGTATTTAGGAAAGGCAACAAGGAAGGACTCAGTCCTGRTACATTGGTGAAAATGAGAATTGTGAGAATGAGAGAGAAAAAAGGACCTTTCAGGCTCAAGCAGAGAGATATCCTTGCAACATGGGGATTTTTTTTTGCACTTTCTTCACCCGGTAGATGAGCATTACTGAAAATTCACAAGAATATTCCTCAGTCCTTGCTGAGAGTAAATTCCCACGGAACAGGTAAATCATGCCCACAAGTGCCAGTTATTTTACAGGGAACGCCCCMAAACTGTAAGTTCTAATGTGAATTTCACTAATATTTATCAAYTGAGGTGTCTGGCTCTTGATTTTGGCTTTGCTCCCCCTCAGCTCCTAGATCCCAATCCTTTCCCCAGTGCAAGGAGCGAAGGCTGCTGGAGGACTGGTGCACGTGCAAGGAACCTCATGTTTTCATCTACTGCTTTCTGCTGCAGCGCCGGCTGCTGCTGAACCAAAGCGCGAGCTCGGGTGCCTCGAGGAAGGCTCGAGGACGGCAGGAACAGGCTCTGCTGCA